GACTAGGCTTATCATAGGCAATATATTAAATTCTCAATGTCAAGTCAAAACAGAACAAAATATGAGCCTGGAACAGTGTTTGAAGACAAAGGTTTTCAGACATGCATCTAGCATTATTATTAAGTTCCTTTTCAGACATGTTAAGCTCAAATTTGGTTCTCAGCACATATATTTGGCCGGTTTGGCTCGACAGAGTGAATTTCATTGGCTACATTTAATAACCACATAAGATGACGCATTTAGCCAAGCCCTCAACACTGAGAACAGGACCCTTGAAATCAAACTGTGATAGGGTGGTGATGGCGCCTGGGTTCAATCCCCTACTGTGATACATCCACCATTGTGTCCCTGAGCAGGACACTTGAGCCCTATAAAAGCGTCAGCTAAATGAATAAATGTAATGTAGGAATCAAATGGTGTTTCGGCTCGGCCATTGACAGCAGCATTTAAAAACCTCTTCATCTGTGTGAAATGCTTCGAAACGTATCAAAAACTACTCCAAATACTGAGAGATTAAACAAGGAAACCTGGCATATCAGTGGAATTGTACAAAGGCAATGCTACCAGAATCTAATAAAATATTGATTACTCTAAACTTTCAGAAAATATAGACTTCGAATTATTTATCACCAATGAACCACATAAACAATGTTATGTTGTTTTTAAACCGTACTTTGCCGTAGAAATCATTCAATGTCTGGGAGTTTTTAACTTTAACTGCAGGCAGGCATGTTGTGCACAACACCGGTCCAGTCAGGGAGACAGAGGGGGGGGAAGTTATTTTAAAAGCCTAAGAGATTTAGTACTTTTCAGAAAACCTTTGGAGCTGGAGCCCAAGAAACCATCCCTGTAAGAAATTCACCTTAATAGGTACAGTGATAAGGAATAGATAGAAGGGGTGCTATACAGTCTGAGAAGAAGAAGACACATTTTGTTTTGATGTGAACATAAATATGTTTAGTGCCATCCTGAGTTGAAAATAAATCAAATATCCAATGTGTTTTTTAAACTTAAAATCTAAAAACATGTTTTTACCAGCACAGATAACCTGTTATACATTGCTGTGTTGGTGCGACCAGTTTTGCACAGTTGTCAGTGTTAAAATGATTTAAATGCATATTCACTTGTGAGTAGATGGCAATTGAGTCTTATTATCAGACTACCAGCCTCTACCCAATGCGTTCTGTGCCCTGTGTAGCCTACCCATTCACCTCCACGTTCCCTGTAGACAGCAGACTAGACATGACAACTGAATTAGACTACATACCCAGAGACCCAAAGAAACTCCTTTGCTGGAGTAATACCACCTGGCCCCAGGTTGTGGTAATTTGATTAAATACAAGTTATGTATTAAGCGAGCACAATGTAAACTAAATACAGTTCACAATCAGGCCCTTCTGCCCTGTAGTTGGTAACTCAGCCTTCCTCTGAGGCTACATTGTTGTACTTCTTTTAGTAAGGTACAGTTTTGGGAACATTTAGCCTCAGTTAACATCCTCAGCTGTGGATCGGCTCCCCATTAAGAAAGACGCTAAGTGCATTTACGCACGAGGTATAGCAGCGTAAAGTCATTGATTATTTGAATCCCCCGACAGGATCGATCAGGATGAACTGACAGCAGCCTCTCTAATCATGAAAGTAATTCGTTAAGGCACAAACACATAGCCTATAGAAATCTATTTAGGCATGATCGATGAGGTACCGTCTTCACGAGCTCCCCCGTATTTTGCACCCTGCCTACAGTCTCGACCATCGGATTCCCGCAACAGGAAATAACTTATCCTTCACTCGTGGATTTGTTTTTCTGCTGCTGAATTGTTTCTCGGTGTTGGTGTATTATTAAAAAAATAGAAGAAGAAGAGAACAGGAAGTGTATGTTAGAGGTTAGGAGTTACAGGTGTTATAAGAGAAAGTGTTCTTGGAAGAAATGAGTTTTCAAGAGCTTCTTGAAGTTAGAGAGGGACGACCCTGCTCTGATGGCATGTGGTAGCTCGTTCCACCATCGTGGTGTCACAGATGAGAACAGGGACTGAGATTGCTTTGTGTGAAGGGATGGCAGAGCCAGGCAGTGGCCCGACAAGGATTGTGAATTTGTATTATGGAGTTTAAGTAGATGGGTGCAGACCAGTCACTTTGTCTGCAAGCATTAGTTTCTTGAATTTGATCCGGGAGACCATGGGTATCCAGCGGAGGTCACTCAGTAACGGATTGAAATATCTATCATATGGAATTATTGTGACATTTTCCTCTCAAGACTAATGAATGTGCATTCCTGAAATATTTATTTCTGCGTTTTTATGTGATGAATTGACAATAACCTTATATTTTAAGATGCTATTCATATCTGCACAAAGTTTTACATTATGGCTCCAATTTCTTTACCATGTGAAAAAAGAACACGAGGCGTTGAAATTGCCACTTAACCAGAAGGTGGCAGAATATCTCTGTGCAATGTGGACTGAACGGCTTTTTTGTGTCTCCAACTGCAGGTGGCCATGTGGTCCTGAGGAGAGGCGAAAAGCAGGCAGGTTTCTTATATTTCATGGTCCTGCTATAAAATCTTAAATTAAATTACGTAGTCTTATGGTTAACTCCACGTTCACTTATAACTTTAGAAACTGAATTGAATAGAGACGGAATTTTCTGTTTTATGTATTCGCCGTCATTTCAAAAAACACTGGTCTTGCTTCATGCATAATTATAGAACTGTATACAGCTGATGGCATCTTATTGCTTGTTTTTGTTTGGGTGAATACTTTCTCGACCCATAAAATCGGGTTTTGGTTTTTTATTTCGCACAGAGCGGTCCACATCAAGGGGAAAGGTCACTGACAGCATCTCTTTCTTCTTCTTCTTCTTTGTCTCCCAGCCTCCCACCTCCACTCTGAAACAGGACCACAGCTTGCCAAGACCTGAAAGGCGTCATGTGACATCTGCTCTCAGTTGTGGCAAGAAAACCGAGCAATGAGAGAGAGAGAGAGAGAGAGAGAGAGAGAGTTGAGGAGGAGCTTGCTGCGATAAGATTCACTCCACGCGCCATCAGCACCAAACATTTGCAGTCTATCCATCCATCCTCTATCTCCAGCGCACTTGCTTTGCAACAACAAACTGGCGTTTTTAAATGTGTGTTTTTTCCCCCCTAGTTGGACGATGCACACGTGCATCCCACGGTTAATACTCGCTCTCTGCTGAGTTGATTATGGTCACAACCCCCGCGGTGCCAAGGTGGAGCCACCGCGCGTATCTCGGATCGGTGCGCTTCTCCAGGGGCTGGGATGCGCACCGGGGACCTCTCGCTTCCTGCCAAGTTTCGGAGCTGAGCAGGAGTCAAGCGCTGCCCCGGGCCGCCGAGGCAGGAGGACCCAGTCTACCCGGAGCAGGATGCCGGTGATGAGAGGGCTGCTGGCCCCACAAAACACCTTCTTGGACACCATCGCCACACGCTTCGATGGCACCCGTGAGTAACATAACAAACAAGAGCTTTCTGATGACCCTGTCTACCCACTACACACACAATTACATATGGTCTACCTCATGTAAACTACTTCTTCTGAAAACATTGCCTAGGCCCAACAACATAGAAACTAGTTACCTTATAAAACATCACATACTAAGCCCATATGTCCCTATATACATTTAGGGATAATTTTCTCTGAGATGGAACTTTAAAAGGTTAAAAGATATTCTCATTTTCACTCTGCCTAATAAATTAAAGGACTTGTCTGGTCAATATGTTGATTTACAAAGTAGCATCCTGAAAAGGCCAAATTTTATTGTGCACCTGTAAGAGGTAAAGCCAAGCTTTCTCATGATGGGCAACAAACAAAGCTCAATTGAAACAATTAGTGAGGAGTAAGCTTTACAAATGCAAACTGTGATAGGCTGTACATTCATAATAAACACTCTGGTCTTCTATTCTAGTGATGGAAGTATTGTCATGATAATAGTTGATGTAAGGGATGTATTTCTTTTTTTAAGGCCAGCTGTGGTATCTATTGTTATTGTTGCCTATTGTTGTAGTTTTATGACTGAGACTGCCTTCAGTTCCATTACCATTGTGTCTTTTTTGCACACATGTCCAGGCTTCACTCTGTATTGTCTCATTGAGCCAACCAGTCTAACCACAAAGGTTGCAGTTCACACTTTGAGTACTTTTGTACTCCTCACCTGAGCCAACACAACTCCTGTTTTATTCTGATCTCTAACACTCTCAGTCTATTTAAGCAAAAGCAGTTGAAATGATGCCAGAGACAGGGAAGTAAGATGTACAGACCTTTTTTTTCCCCTTGCGAGGGTGTCTTGTGAACAGATGCGATGAGCAGCCCGTGTGTGTTTGGCCCCCTGCTGAGTGGGTGGGCGGGTGAGAGATGCTTATATTGCGTTTGGGCCATTCGTTTCTCCTTCTGGCTTGAATATTCAGGGAGATGGGAGTTTGTGTGAGTCTGCGAGTGAGTCGAGCCACTGTCTCCCCTAAACCAGTTATGTGTGACAGCATGATGGGAAAGATTATTCGACCATGCAGCAAGCAAGTAGCTTCAAGGCAGATCCCGATCTCGCTCCAGGTTTTTCCAAGTCCTCCCTTTCCTATACTAACTACAAAACACAGTGGTAATAGTGGCTGCCACTTTTGTCTACAGGGCATTTAAATGATCTTACTTTGAAAGGCAAAGTGAGTTGTTAGTGTTGCTGCGATGACAAAAAGGAAGAAATAGCTTCTCTGTGCTGTATTGTGCTTTATCTTCACACACATGTCTCTGACTGTTTTGAGAGTCAACAAATACTTCAGGTCTCAAATACTGTTATCACGTAGCCTGCATTAGTCAGAGGAAATGCTTGCATGCATGTTCAGTGCACATGAACCCACATACATTCATTCACCCCGTGTCTCCCACACACAGTAATCGCATATGCTCACAAACAAATCAAACAGTAGAAATGATCATGTTGGGTAGTTTAGCCCTCAGCATGGAAAGACGTGGTCTCACTATTTCTTTGAGTTGCTAAAACACAGGCTTTCATTTGCAGAGGTGCTGATAATTACACATCTCCAGCAGAGTACATGTGCAGTCATTGTAATTAACCGCATGGATTTCAAGAATTCATTGTCGCCTTTCTGCTCGTCAGAGGAGGGTGGGGGTGGGGGGTCGGAATGAGAGGTTGTGGGGGTGGGGAGGGCTGGATTGTGTGCAGGATGGTGGGATAGGAGTGTGTGTGTGTGTGTGTGTATGTTCTTGTGGGAGGAGGGGGAATTTTGGCTGTCTAAAATATAAATCCATTATGGTCTAGCTGTGAAAAACATGCAGCAGATATGTGTTCTTAAATGGTGTTGCATTAGTTCCTCATTAAATCAGACACTTTGGTGGAGGAGAAGGCCAGTTATGTGTCTGTCTCTGGAGGTGATGAAAGCTTTGTGTCTCAGTGAATACTGCCGTGTGTGTATGTATTTCTGGGAAAGGGCTTTTTGTTGTGATGTGAATCAAATGGCAATCATGATTACTTTAAAAAGCCACAATGGCAGAGCCCTTCCTGAAAGCACTTCTTCTCTTGATGATGACTATTAGCTGCTTTGTGCTCAGCCTGGTATCACCAAATGGCATGTGAATAACATGCCAATTTGCATGTTATCATAACGCATTTTTGATTGATGTGTCATTTCACAAAATATACCTTGTACTGAAACACAGGACGTCAAGTCCGTGCTGACTTATTTTAAGTTACCATGATCTTTTCCTTAACCTAATTTAGTTTTGCTGCCTAAATTTGCTGCAATTTATATGCACATGAGGTCATGTTAAGCTCAATGTGGAATCTGGCAGTGTTGGCATTATATTTGGAAATGTCGCATGCCCTCAAAGGGGACCTATTATGCTTTTCCTTATTTTCTGTCATATATGATGTTACAATATTGGATGTTGTAGGTAGCCAGCTCACTCTGCCTGGACTGGGAGCTCAGAGCTTAGGCCTGAAAACCCTCTCCTCCCGGCGGTCCAAAGCTCCTGTGCTAGTGGTGTAAACATCAACACCCCCCAGGTGCTTGAGCTCCCAGTCCGGGAAGAGTCAGCTAAGATAGTTGGGATGCAAGCTGCATGGCTAGCCCATGGCAGCTAATGTTAGAGATAGTGGTTACTTTAAAGCTCTGTCCTAGAAACTAGAAACTCTATAAAATATGATCCACTTTCACCAACATCTGTGAATAAAGATAAACTTGTGTTGTGTTGTACTGTAGTGAGGCCCTGAGCAGATCTAAGGCCACATTTTAACCCTAAACCCTTCTAAGCAGAAAAGGCTGGTTTCAAAACATGCCACCATCAGATGAGACTCACACATAAAGACTCACAGCTATGTGTGCATCTGTGACTCATGTCCACCGGACTGTAACAGCACTTTCTGCACTGCTTTCTGCACTTGCACTTTCTCAAGCAGCTAAGTAAAGAAAGTGGAAAGTGTGCACATCCAACCCTATTTGGCAACAGGCAGGACAAAATCAATAAAATGACTGCACAGTGAATTTGACATGCTCCTGTAAGGTCTTTTATTTCCCGTTAATGCGGATGGATCACGTCATAGCAGATACCCGATTCACTTAATAAGCTTAGTACCTGCCCTTGGAATGTAATGATTATTCAATTTATCAATTAGTCGTTACACAGAAAATGAATCACCTCACTATTTTAATAATCAATTAATTGTTTAAGTCATTTATCAAGCACAAATGCAAAACTTGTGTAAATTGAATATCCCTTTTTTTCAGGCTGTCAGTCAAACAGAAAATTCAATGTGAAGACGTTGTCTTAGGTTTTGACTCACATTTTTATAGTCTAAATGAGTAATCGCTTAATTGAAAAAGAATAACTGACAATGAATCAATGATAATCATGTTAGTTAGTATTCAATCGGTCCAGCCCTGAAACCTTTCACACATTAGTGCAGTAATGAATATACAATATCAAACACACACGCACATAGATTCATACACACATACCAAGTGCTGCATCACGCTGCAGTTAGACATCACAGCTTCTGATTCATACACTTGGAGAAAGTTATTATTTATAGACCCCTTCTCATGACGAATGTTGTAGCCAACACCTCTCAGAACAGCATGAGAAAAAGAACATGTATGGATATATACACACACACACACACACACACACACACACACACACACACACACACACACACACATGCATAAACACCTTGTAAAAAAAAATCTGGCAAATGACTGAGCACTTTGTAAATTTATGTTTATTTCTTTTCATTCTGCAATCAGTGGATTCATGCAGAGCTCTCATTAAAATCCCTGTTTTGAATTTGTTAATGTGAGAAAATTGGGGGAGCGACAGCATGGAAAGAATGAGTCCTCTGAAGACTCTCCTTAAACCTCATGCACAGTTGAGTCAATGTTCATTTGCTGCTCTACTTCCTAGAAAAAGGCAGAAGCTGTGTGGGACTACACGAGTCAATTGGTCCTATTAATTGAGTGGGTCTTGGCTTGGTCCTAATCAGGTTAGGGCCTGAGCCCTACTCATCACGTGGACTTGTCTGGACCAGCGCTCTGCATAAGCCGCCACCAGCCTGCTACCACACTCTCCTTCTCTCATGCTTCATTTTTAATCCAAAATGGGTTTTGACTATATGGTGAAGAGCCAGAAAAATGATTCTTAATGCCACAATAAGTTTCATTCATCGCTCATTTTACTTTTGTCTAAAGCACATGTAAAATATAAGACTTGCCTTGAACCCCTTAGTTTGGTGTCAGACTGTCTCTTCCCAGTGAATATGTTATACCTACTCTGTTTTAAGAATAGAATAAAATTAAATCTGCTGGGAAACTGATATCTTTATTAATTTAATTCTTATGTTGCCAGGTTTCCGCAATTGTCAGGGATTTATTGCAATTTTTTTTAATTTATTATATCTTACAAGTGTAGAGATTGGAGGATTGCACCATTTCTGTTAAAGAAAATAAAGATCTTTCACCTTCATCTTCTCATTCGTATCACACACCACCTTGTCACAAAGCCCATTTGCTCCAATCACCAGAAGTAAGGTATATCAAATTAGGCCTCTGTCTAACAGCTGAGATAACTCAAATTATCCCACATCCCTCGCTTCTCCAGCCCTCATCCCTTGCTGCTGTTTCTCACTGTCAGTCTTTACTTAGTTGTCTGTTCTCTTGTTATTCGCTTGATTTTGTGCATATGTGAGAAAATGAGAAAACTGTCACCACTTCCCCGTGCCTGTATTTGTGTATCTGTGTGCACCTGTGCCTGTGTATGTTTGACAGCACAGATTAGTGGTGAAGCATTGCCATGTCTCAGGTGTGTGATTCCCCTGTGGCGCTTTGTGCTTAAACCCCCTCCTGGCCTCTCGTCAGGCAGGAACAGATATAATGATAGGCCTAACAATGGCTAGGCTTGGCTCTGTGACTTTATGGTATTAGCAAGGTACACCCAT